CGATAAGCTCAGAATATTTCTCTAGATTGCAATCCTCTAAGCTTGACAGAACTCGCTTATCCTCAGCACTGAGTTCATGGCGAATACCTAAAAAATGAAACAAAATAAGCAAAGCAAGGTCAGTAGAATAAAGCATCAACGTGATCCAAGTTTACTCAGACAGGGCTTACTCAGGTTATCAGGGGTAGTCTAGGCCCAGGGCACTAGGAGGGTATCAACTAGTGTTATCAGAATCGGACCGGATCGGTTTAACTGTGAATCGGGACCTTAACCGGTCCGGTTCTGTAGTTGGACCGTTTAAGGAAGAGAACCGATTAAAAACCAAAAAATCGGTCAATTTTCCATTAAAAATCGTGAACTGGATTTTATAAAAACCGATGGATTTTTGAACCTTTTTGTATTTGGGGCCTTTTTTTGCCCTAAATCGTAGAAGGCACTACTAGGTTCCAGCGACCATCGAACTCAGGCAAGATCTATTGAGATTTAAGGTAAAAACTTCCATTCATATCTTAGTAACTAAGATCTAGAAGCTTGAGATTTACACCTCAACAATATGCAGCTNGTACTAATAACTGCAAGAACTTCCAGTTTTATAATGGTGTCGGATCTGAATCAAAGCGGATAACGGAGATAAATCGCGTTTGGAATTTCTATAGAAATGTAGCATATATACTTGCATAGCCATCGCTTGGGCTAATTTAGAAGTCATAAAAAAGTATCATTTTATTATCTTGTAATGACTTATTCAGAGTATCTTTGATTAGGGGGTATGGGCGGTAAACTATTGGTGTATGGACATTGTAGCTTGGTAGAATCGTCGTAGGGAGTAGGATAGCAGCATTAACAAGAATAGAAAGCAAATCATGGTGTCGTATAACAAATGGTAAGCATGAGGCCGACATCTTGAAAGTCTATGACCATAAAACATTGATAAATGGATACTCTTCAAATTTATATTTGTTTCTTTATCCTCTCTATCTCTCTCTTTCATTCTCTCTCTCTCTCTCTATAGTTCTGTCTTGGGTAATTTGTTGGAAGATTCCATGCAAACAGCATGCATGTTACCATGTTGGGACCTTATAGAACAGGCATGGGAATATTCTTTTGTTACATATTCAAGTTAGCAAAGTTGCAAAAGACAATTAACTCGTGTTCTATGCACAAAGACCTTTGTGTAATTGTGCCTCTTTTTTTCTATTTTTATTGCTGAAACTTGGAAGCATTCCCTCAGGTGAAAGCTACTTCTAGGAGAGACGTTTTGGGCACGAAAGTATTGAAACTAACTAAAGGCACCGACGGCCATTTTGATTGGTGTAAGGTGGAGTGATAATGGTGGTGGATTCTGTGGGTTGTCGTTGATAGGTATTTGCCTACGAACAAGTTAAATGGAAGATCTAAAATGGGCATCCTTGTGGAGCTCAAGCCAATATGGTTTTGGAAATGAGAAACCGTCATTTAAAAAAAAAAAAACAACTAATTGCAAGTTTAAATGACATGTTGTTGAGATAGTTTTTCGAGATGAAAGTAAGAAAAAATAAACAGTAACATATAACTTTGATTCTCAAATTACGCACTTCAGGTTAGTTTGGTCTTCAATCTTTTATTTTTGTCAATTTGGTTCTTCAACTTCTCAATTTATGTTACTTTGATCCAATCAAAAACAACAGTTAAAATAACTAACGGAGTTTGTCACGTGCATCTCACATGATCACACTTGATGTGCATTTTTTTTAAAATTTTAGGGATTAAAGTGACANAATCTCCTTACCCACGTCTCCTAAATCGACGTTTTCTTCAGCAGACCTATCACCCATAAGGGAAACAGACGAGACTGTAGCTTCAGAAGAGGCATACATAATTGGACAAGAGAAAGGAAGCCCGAAAGATCTATAAAGAGGGGAAACGTCCACAGAACAATTCCTAAAAGTCGAGGGGTCAAGACAGCAGCAACCGATGAGAAAAACTCTAGTAATGGAGTAAGGATCCAGAAAAAGGAGGACGTAAGACAAGGAGTGACCTTGATTCCTAAAATAGCAAAAACGGAAGGTCTAAAAATGTAGTAACCAGCTCGGATTCAAGGGATTCAAAACGAAGAAATGAACATAAGCCAAGAACCGTATCTAATCAGGAATGAGCGACAAATCAAAGTCCAAAGCGAAATCAGGAAGCAAGCCTCACAAAGCCTTCAAAGCAAATCAAGGGAAGTTGATTTTCTGTAAAACCCCTAAGAACACCAACAAATTGAGGAAGTCAGAATCGCAAGGAAGACAGAGGGTAAAACCTGGAGAGAGAAATCAAATGAAGAAATGAGGCAGTCTCCATCATCTCAAAAGCATTTAAAGCATGGTGTACGTGGGTTTTCGAAGTGTGGAACATGCGCGAGAAACAAGGAGGAAATGCTTGCACAAAACTGCCAGAACAGTCTCCTCGCTAGCAAATCGAGGTCGCCGTAGGGAGGTCTAACCCAACCTAGACGCAGCTCAGCCCCTGCTCAAACCCACTTTGACTAGGGACTAGTGGGCAATTGATGATACCTAGGAAAAATTTCAAATTTGAGCTCGACAATTGAAGTCAGGAAAGGAGTTCAGCCAAGAGAGCTTGAGCTTAGAGGTCTAGACTTGGGGCTCCCTCGACTTGCACCCCAAAGTAGATGAGTGGAAGACAGTTGGCAATCACAACGCGCCCACTCAATAGCAGTAAGCGCCAGTCTAGGCGCAAGAACCTCAACCGCCTAAACCATCACCAGAAATCAAGTGGTATGTAACGGAAGGAAGACGAAGATCTCGCCACAGACCCCATAGAATTAGGAACTTGTGTATAAATACTATACAAAGCCCTCACTGTGAGGCAGAGAAACCATGCAACCAAAAATTGTACCAAGAATACTGTGTAATCCTCTCATAATCATCAATATAGATTCCAGGAGCAAGAGACTCTATTGAAGAGTGGATTAGCTGAGCTCCCGTGTTGGTGAACCACTATAACTCTTAAGTGCAAACCATCCCCCATCCCTAAATCGCCATGTAATTCCCAAGAGCCTTCTAGCTCAGATTAAACCCCGTAAGTACACACAATCTGCTCAACCTCGCTTTAACACCATCAAAATTTAATGTAAAGAAGTTTCAGTTATTGTAAGTTTGTGCTTTTGGAGTATTGTGTACCAGCCAAATCACATTGGACCGATGTAAAATTTGGAAACTCATAGAAAATTACTATTTTTATTAGTTAACGACTCATTCTGGCTTCTAAATTTTTGTATCTTGCTAGAATCATCATAGGAAGTGGGGAAGGAAGAACATTGAAAAGAAAATAAATCAAAGCATGATGGTTGTATTACACATGGTTAGCATGAGGCCGACATCTTAAAAGTCTCTCATCCCAAAAAAATCATAAATGGGTATTCTTCATGATTGTATTTGTTCCTTTGGTCATCTCTCTCTCAATGCAATGCTGATGCGATGTCTCACACAGACACACCCTTATCTAATTTCTGTGCGGGGTCAATGAAATAGACAAATATCTTTAGTTGCCCACAAATTAATTTGATGTAAACAGCATGCATGTTATCATGTTGGGACCTTAAATAACACTCAGGACCGGCCCCAGGTATAGGTGATTAATGCTGCCACCTAGCGCGTCAAAAATAAATGGTAATATTTGGTGTCCTCCAATTTTTTTTAAAGAATTAATTAAAATAATTTTAGTGCCCACAATTTTAACTAGTCTTGTAATTTTAGGTATAATTTATAAATCAATAAAAAAATTGATACAATATTTATGAGTTTGAGTCTATTTTTAGTATTTTTTAACGATAAATAGATAAAATTATTCGGCCCTAAAAACAACAGGTCAATATGACCCCAACAAAACGTGACAAAAACTCATTAAACTATACATGATTAGAAGTAGGACGGACATATATTAAGCAAATTCTAACACGATACGATTGAATAATATTTTTGTATTACTTTTATTTTTTCAGTCTTACTTATATTTATGTAAATACTGAAAAAAATGAGTTATCTATTAACGCAATACTTTTGATTTATTACAATTAAAATTTATTGGCTGACTAATTATTTATCACCTATTTTTCATAAATTATAATTTTTTCTTAACTTGAATTCGAGACTTTTTTTTTTTTTTTTTTTTTAATTT